AATTGAATATATATATATATATATATATATATATATATATAATTATACTACATTGCATGATCAGATGATAGTGTTTTTGTCGGTGTAATTTAATTCAGTTGTTATGGTTTTTTACAACATAATTTATGATGTTATGTAGCACAATTTGAAGAAAAAATAATTTATAAAGCAAGTGTCATTTGACGTTGTATTGATTATCTCTGTTTTATTTATATTTTTCATAATATTTTTTTAGAAAGTAGTTTTATTTGTATCGTTTATAATAAAATACTCATAATTAATACAATCCCAATCATTTTTTTTATCCCGCTATTAATTCACTCTGATTTGAGCCTTTTGTGCATTTAAATTTTTCCAATTTTAGAATTGTTGATTACAAATTTACAATGTATTTATCACGTAATAGGGTAATTCATTGCATCATTCGAGGATGTCATTATCCATTTCAAGGTTGATGCTGTCTAACTGAAAAACTAGATAAATTTTGTTAGTTAATATACTTATTTTACCTTGCGTTTAAATGTTTATGGAAATATAATTGACAAGGAAAGTGAATGCAATGCTAGTGTATTTAAATGTTTCATCTAAGGGCTATAAGGCTATAAACTCAATTGAACACGCTTTTAATTGTGTAGAGTATAGTAGGCTAGACTGAGTTTTCTGGTGTAACACTTTAATGTTCACAGACCAGCTACTTAGGATGTTCATAATATTTGAAATTTGGAAAGGGCATAAGAATAAATAGGTTAAAAATATAGAATCCAAGTTGAACAAGTCCAAGTTATACGGATTGATCAAGTCAAGTGATAGATCGATTTTTTTTTTTTTCATTTTCAAAGAGTATCAAGAATTAATCTATGTTGAACGTTTGACAGGTATAAAAAAGATGAACATCCTCTTTGAATTTAAACAATTAAACAAGATAATATTGTCCCTACGAGGCCTACTATATTGCGCAATTCAACCCAATTCAAATTCTTAAGTATAGCCAAGGTGAAATTATTACTAAGTAGAGCATTGTACTCATGATAGTATGTATAACACGTTAAATCCAGCGGTTGGTAGTAGCAATTTATGTTCTGTATAAGTACTAACTAACACTATCCTTTTCCTCTCCTAGTCACTATTTTCCTATACAATTATCTTCAATGATTGAAAAGATGCACATTATGAAACTGTGTATGATATGATATGTGACCAGTGACCACCCCCTCCCCAAATGAAACTATTAGCCAAAGCTCATGTCAATGGTCTCTCTATCTCTATCAACAGCCACCATCAGCAGGCTCAATTGAACTCAGAAGTCCGTTTCCTCTTAACTGCATGCAGTGGTCTTCTGCATCCACTTGGGCACACACGATCACCACTGCTAGTCCATTATAATGTGCCTCCTGCATGATGTTAACTGCATTATCAACTGTCATTCCTGGTATTACCTTCATCAACACTTGCACAACATATTCTCTCTTGTTGTAGTTGTCGTTGTGCAGCAAAACTCGGTATGGTGGGGATGTTTTCCTTGATTTCCTGGTACAAAACATGTCATCAAAGGTTTGAGCATTAATTCTCTTTTGCTCTAAAACATGTGATGTAACAGAGAAATTATTAGACAATTCTGGACCACTTAACGTTCATGGTCATAACCAATCTCTACTTGACACGGTTAATTATGAGAGAGAATTAAGAAAACTCGATTACAAGTCTGATGGGTTCGGGCGTCACTCTTGAGTGAACGTACTTGGATCAACTTGAAGCAAAGGACGTGGATTCGTTCTTAAACTCAGATCCAAACATGCACTACATGTTACGTGAAAATTGATTGAGAACATAATGGTACTAGACTATGTAATAATTTCTCCCCAAACGGAGACATGAATAAACATAGAGAAGAGACAGCACATGCAGAAAGACAATAATTAGTTTCCACAAAATGAAATTTCCTAGCAACTTCATAATACAATTCTTTTCCAATGGCAACAAATGAAAGAAACAATTCAATCACTTTTCTATTGACGACTATGCCTGCTCATCTCAAAGACAAATATAGTGAATCTAATAGCAAAATGTTGAGAGCTAGAAAACTAAAAGAATAATTCCCACCCTCGTTAATAACATGCCATTTACTTTGAACTACCCAAGTAAAGTGGAATTGTTATCAATTGAAGTGACCATAACTAACACGGCAGACAGCTAATGAAACCTTGAGTAATGAGTGTCAACATAATTGCGTAAATGTTATAGACACAGCTTTGGCATTTCTTCACCATCACCAAGCTCACTTCCAAAAATCCTATAGTAGTATTGATTTGATAATTATGTTATTTGTTCAAAGTATTGATCACTTGACAAGTTGAAAATTAATTTCCATTGAAAAATTTGACTAACTTCTTTTAGTAGAGTCTCCCTTTTCAATCATGTTCTTGTCATATTAAAAGATTCTAACTCGAAATCTTGATTAAAGTGATTGAATTCAAAAATCCTCAAATTAAGGACATATTGGTGTAACATCTAAATTTGATATTTGGCTGTAGTAATTTAGTTCAATTGAGGGATAATTATGAAATATGGACTGGTCATTACTGTTATCCCGTAAGAGAAACCTCTCAGCACATCTTACAGTAACACAGTAGGAAATTAAGGGTTCAAGTCTGTACTTCAGAGACTGCATCTATTGGTTTTCAAATGGTTAAACAATTATTAGAAATAAGAAGCGAGAAACAAAATCAAACGCAAATACCATATCAGTGCTTCACCTTGGCCTAAGATTAAAAATAAAATCAAATGCAAACAAGAAGATGGACCAAAAGGAAAATAACACAGCAGAGTTTCATGCAAACAGAGGGAAAGATATAATTTGCATTTAGTGTTGTTGACAATCGATTAATTTGTGTCCTTGAACTAACGGGTTACAGATCCTTAATTATAGACCATCCCAAAATTCAGTTTTTCTGATCTTATAATATATTTGAATGCATCATAAATGGGGACTTTAACATAGTAGCACAACTATATAAATTGAAGAACCAAACTCACCTAATAGCTTAATTAATTTGTCAGTGAAGGCTGAGGAAAGGTTTTGATTTAAACATCCAACAGAGACTATTTTAGTTTTTAAGAACCAACTAACAAGAGCTTCTCTTAATTTTACATTAGTATGAAACATTTTCAAGACATTTCTTCAATTCTTCTATATAATATATTGTTAGATTCCTCTAAATTGTGCTCCTGATGTTATTAATACCTTATGTCAAATTCAGATTCCCGACCAGGTGATGTTGTCTCTATGGTCGGCCTCTCCAACAACCCACCACCTTTCCCTAAAATTCCAGTGGCTGCCACTGTCATTACAACACTGCGATCTTTGCTATATTTCAAAGGAAAATTTTTATCTCCTGCATTACAAAGCTAATAGCAATTAAAATATGAACCCTTCTATTTACTAAGTAACATGAAATTTTAATTAGAATTGAAATATATGGTCCAGCATTATCTCCTCAAATTTTCGGAAAAAAAGTCATAAACATAAACAACTTGGGCAACATGTTCATGAAATAACATAAAAGTATGCAATTTATTATTTTACTATGTTAAAGGTGAAAAATATCATTATTCACCGAGTTTAATGATAATCAATCTTTGTAAAAAATCCAATTAGTCATGTTTTATGAGATTTTTTCTTTCAAGTACTTATCCACAGTACTTAAACTCGAGACACTGGCTAAGGAATTTCAGGTAGGTTCCACTTGTATCAACCATTTTTTTATCCTTGTGTTTTAAAAAATAAATAAATAAATAAATGGAACATAGTTAGAAAGTGGACTATATGGTATAGTAATAGTACCAGGATTTGATGCATTGAATACTTGGTTGGGTGAAAGAGCAAGTGCACTGCATAATGCAGCTTCCATGGCTTTGTGGTGGTCGACACTAGCAGATAGCAACTATAACAATGGCAGGATAGCAATAGTGTGTGTTAGAGAAATATTCAAATATTGTCTTTGTCGTTACCACACTGATTTTTTTGGGTGGGTGAAAGAGATTTTAGTGAGTATGAAAGCTAATGGAAATTTTGTACGGTGCACACTGAATTTGGCTTTAAACGTTAATATGAATAACACGTGTACATTGGAAATTTTTGAGGCTAGTGTAGTGCTCTTGTGATAATATAAAATTGTTTTATGGTCTGAGACGGGACATAAAATTTTGGAGAACTGCACAAAGCCACGAAGTGACAAGAAATACGAGTCTATCCCAAAGAATATTTGTGGGTAAAAATCTACAATCAATTATTCTAGCACAGCCCTCAATCCAAATTCAAACAAATCAACATACAAAGAGCATGCTTTTGCAGCTTATGATCATTTTTAACTCCAAAACCTCTAAAATTATTAGTCTCCAATGCTCGAGTCGCAAACAACTGTCCCATAGTTGCCAATTACTTCAACTGAAACACAAGAAATAAATGGAAGATAACTATCAAAAGGATAAATTAAAAATAGGGATAGGTGAATTAGAAAAACATGTGATTCATCTATAGAGAACTAATAAATACCTATTAGGTTTAAGAAAATTTAAATGAATGGATTAGATTTATTATTTAAATTTTTAAATTAAATTTATATAATAATATTAAATGTCTTTTTTAATCTTGATTTTTTTTTATCTAAGTTCTTCTTTCTTTCGATATGTTTTTCTTGTTTTTTTTTTTGTTTTTTTATTGTCATCTATTGTTATCATTGAGAACCATTTTCTTCAATGAGTCTAAAATTTGATCCACCTCTTCAAACATGACCTATCCCTACAACATTGACATCATCAAAGTTGTGACACACTCTCACGCATTGTTTCTTTTCTTTGTTCTGTCAAGCACGTATTGTTCACGCGTGATTTTCTACTTTTTGTAACTTCATCGCATCACTATTGTCTTACTCACTTAGTTTTTATTTTTAGCCTTGTTTTGGTAATGGGTCTAGTCTCATTGTGCCTGTAACGACTTGTCATAGCCGTCACACTACGAACAACACTACACACTATAAAATATATATACTAAAATAGTATAATAAAATATTTACAACACAAGTTGTTAATCGAGCAACCAACGACAACCAATTATATACAATAAAATATGCTACTACAAGGTAGCCTAAAAAAAAATTCATCTCTAGGCACCTCCTATGACCTCTAGCAGCTATCTCCAGTCTATCCATGCCCTGCTCCCATACAACGTATGATCATCGTAGTCCAAACTACATGAAAACATGCAAGGGTAAGTTAGAGATAATAAATAACTCATAATAATTTAATATGCAACATAACAATTATATAATCATCTTCGCATTCGACACATGATACAAACAACATATATACTATACATCTTAACATCATTTCAACTTATAACATAACAACACTATCATCATCCTCAACAAGGTTAACATACAACACAATCACAGCTTAACAACACAACAACAAATATACAACTCATATCAACAACAAATCAATTCATCAACTACTTATGCGTCGTCACGCATTTCAACTCGGAGATCTCCAACAACTGAGGTTAAGCAGTCTAGGTGGCATAAACCCTACCGAATCCAACGTTTGACCTATCCCAACCAGGTCAAGTATAGAACAACGTTAGGAACTCTGAAGAGAACCAGGTATAGACAGCAATAGGCGATTGCTCAAGTGTGCCACTTAGACTCAGAGGTCCAGTACTACTGTCAAGACAGAAGGATTTGGGTATGAGCCTACCACGGTCTTGGCTAGCATCACCAATCCACATATGGAGTTAGCCCACCCACTGTCTTCCAAGTACCATGCACCCTCCAGTACCTAGTCAAAGACTACATCTCTAACTAGATACCTTACTCAAATTGGTCATTCAATCATGACATGGATCGACTATTTCCATGTCGCCCACACAGTACTAAGGGATTCAACTTTAAAACAACTTTCAACTTATTTCCTTAGTATTATGTTTCTCAACATAGGACATATATCTTCACCATATGTCCCCAATTTTTTAACTTTACAACAATAGACACCATAACAACTTTATAACAATAAACATCTGGCCGCTTGTAATCGGTATAGCTTAGCCTGATCCCAATACCGTGGTCGCTTTATACATGTGTGCCTCGACCTTGCCCACACACGGGATCAACTAAGTTCTAGAAGAGAATAACACAATGTCCACTCCAAGGGACAACTTCCCAAGGAGGGTTTTCAACAAATTGGGCTCTCAGAGCACCATAACTATCTCAATCCATACAATGGGATGAGCAACTTCGAAAACATCTCCTCTAGCCCTAGTGATCAACAACTTATCATCACAACTTAATCAACTTACAAATCGACAGTACAACTCAACTCAACAACTTAAACAACGTATAACTTTTCAACTCATCATCTTAATCAACTTTCAACTTAAACAACATGGTATATCAGCACAACAACTCATCAACGTTATTTAACAACACATTTTAACAACACAACATCTCATTTCAACTTTAAACAGCACAATCAACTTAATCATCATAAAATAATATCTTTTCAACACATGGCACAACATACAACTTTATAGCAACATACAACTCTTCTCTAATAACTTAACAATATTATCATCATGCACTTCACAACATATACATGTCCACACATAACATATAGCAAGTTTATCAACTTAATTTCAACTAGCTTCAACAATATCATAGATCAACACACAACTTAAGTAATCAACCTAAGTACCCAAATGAGTTCCCAACTCACATACGACTAACAATTTTACAATCTAGTTTCCCTTACCTGAAGATTGGCTCAAAATAGCCAAGAACTGAGAAAAAGCATAATTCCCTTTCCGAAGCTCAACCTGGAACTTCAATCCACCCAAAGCAAGCTTCCTAATATAAATTTCAAGAAAAGACAGAAGACATTAGTGACCTAGAGGAGAAAAGGAATCATATAGTGAAATTTGGGAGAGAAAGGAGCTCACAGACCCAGAGTCCTTCTCTCTAAAACTTCTCTCTAAAAACTTCACTTTCTCCTCAACCACACAACCCCTATTTATAGAAGTTCAGGAGTGGCCAGAACGGCCTATTTCGAATCCGGAACGGCCCGTTCTGCACCCCTTCATCATGCGTAAAAATCACATGCAGAACGGCTCGTTCTACGATTTGAAACACCCCGTTCTCAACTACATTTCATAGGTCAATTCAGTAGTTTGGAACGGTCCGTTCTGGGCTACTGAATCACCCATACTGAGCTTTTGGGCTTTCTGAAATAACTTACTACGTTACCGTGCTTCCCTAATGACTAATTAAGGGGAGTGCATAACAACAACAAAAACAACGTTATCCTCAAACTCAAAAGTAAGTTTAGGTCAAGTGGAGGAGATGACATAGCCTCCAATTAGAGATGGGGATGGTGAAGTCTTCAGACTTGAACAAGCTTAGGATCCAAAAGATATGCGATCAATGTGGAAGCTAGTTTAGTGGTAGAAGAGGGAGAAGGAAGTAGAGGAAGAAGGACAGATTGGTAATAAATTAGCCATTATACAAACTATAGGAAAATGGACATCAAAGAGAGAGGATTTGGAAAAAGTGAAAAAATATAATAGAATTTTTTTTTAATATAGGAGTTAATCGTAATTTTACAATAAATAAATTAAATAATTAAAAAATATTGAACTGCGGTAATAAAACTTTCTTGAAGAAAAATAATAAAACTTAAAGAATAATTTTATTGTTCATTATCTCTACAATAATGATTAATAAAATATTATAAAATTATATCAATAACGTTAAATTATATATTTTTTTAATTTGTTAAAATCAATGACTCTCGTAATCGGAAGTTATAATATGTAGAAGAAAGATTCCAATTAGTAAATTATTGAGACCAAAGCGACAAAGTAAATGTGGCGTGCTAGCTAGTATGCTGGTTGATGAATGAATTATTAACGATACCTTTAGGTGTATTAATGAGACCAAGTTTATTAATGAAATATTTATTGTTAACTCCAGTCGGTGGCTAAAAAGAGTTTTCTTTTATTTAATTGGTTTAAATATATCTTTAGTCTTTTAAATTTCAGGTAATTTTATTTTTAATTTTTTAAATTTAAAATTGATTTTTTTAATTTTATAATTTCAAAAAAAATTGTTTTAATTTTTATATAATTTTTTTAAAAAAATATAATATTATTGTATAAAATTTATTTATTAATATTTTTGTTAGTCAAAACATAACATTAAACTTAATTGATTCTGTATAACTGTTTTAAGTTATAACTTTCATATGTACCATTAGTGACTTGAGAGACTAAAACAAGATTATAGAGATTAAAAAAATAACTTTAAATTTGAAAAATAAAAAATAAATTTATTTTAAATTTAAAGGATTAAAAATATATTTAACTCTATAATTCTTCTGTATATTTTAACTTTATTTTTTAAATGATTATTATACAACATTTTTTTCTAAATATAAAATCCTTTTTTTTTTTACTTTTTAGTTGGTCCTTTAATATAAAATTATTTTTTATTAATTATTTTTTCTCTCTAAAATATCGATGATTAATTAATTTTTTATGCAAAAAATAATAAATATAAAAATTAATAAATGACTTTTTTCTCTCTCTCTTATTATTATTATTATTATTATTATTATTATTATTATTATTAGAGAAAGTGAATATGGTTTGAATTTTCCCTCTTGTGAATATCCATAAGTAAATTAACCCTTGCAATGAAAAATAGTATAAACCAACACAAAATTAAATATTGAGGAATACTTTTTGGAAATGAAAAAAAGAAGAAGAGAAAGTGAATAGACACAAATTTTAAACATTAATTAATTATAAAAGAAATAAAAAAATTAAAAAAAAGATAATTAATCTTAAAAATATTAAAGATAATTTTAAAAGTAGTACAAATTATTTATAAATTTAATGTCTATAATTAAATTAACCAAATTTTTTAAAAGATGTTAATTAATTAAAAGAATTTTATATATAGAAATAAATGTTGTACATGCATATTCATAAGCAAATAACTTGACTTGATCGAGTACCTTTCACTCACACAACACATAATTAATTTAGATTTTTACTAATGATAAAGAGTATAAAAATAATTATTTACTTTTTAAATAAAATTGTAAAGCTAATGCTCTGTTTTTTTAATTAAAACAATGTTTTTTCTTACACCAATAAACAATATTTTTTTTACTTGTTAAAAAAGTAAAATATAAGTTAATAAAAACCCGTTGTTTTAGTAACGGTGGTCTCTCATATGCCATAACCCGTTGTTTTTACTTGTCTTAAAAAAATTCCTATTGTGGTGTTGTGTTTATAACTTCTTCGTTATAACTTTTTTTTTTATACATCATCCACGTAATATTTTAAGTTAATAGCTAAGAATTAATATGCATTTTTAGAATATAATTTTTGTTGATTAAATATTGCTATACTTAAATTAAATGAGAAATTACACTTTCCTTTTTTAAAAAAATATAAATATTATATTACTCTCTCATCTTACATTAAAAATTATAATTCTCTCGTTCAATAAATTTTAATATATGACACTTTATTTTTAAATATATAAATATTACATCACACTTATATTATAATAAATATTTTTCTCTTTTAATAAAGACAAATACATTCACTTTAACAATATATTTCTTTATATAAATATTAAAAATATATATTAAAAATATTCTGAAATTTGTTAAATTTAAATATATATTAAAAATATTTTTAATTATCATTTTTCATAAAACATTTTTAAAGTTGTCAAAATAAAATCAAACACATGTATTAAAATAGTATTTAGTCAATGTAATTGATGTAATATTTTATAGATATTATATAGTATTAATTATATACAATAAAGTAATGTATAAATGTTAAGGTATTATTTAATTGATGTTATTAATAAAGGATTTTAACTTCTAAATTTATCATATTTAACAAATATAATGCTCAAATATGCATTTTTTTTTCAAATGAATATATTTATATTGAAAATATATTATTAATAAAATTTAATTATTACAAATTTAATATTTCTCTCTTTATATATATATATATATATATTGATTTATATTATAATATTTATTACAAATTTAATACTTCTCCCTTTATATATATATATAATTTTTTTGTATTTTTATTTATTTTATTATTTTAATAATTTATTTTATATTTGTGAGACCCCTTCGGATTTTCTTCTTTTCTTCCAAAAGGCCCTACCCTCTCCCTCTCATTTTTGAACTGAACCCTTCCTATTAACCTATTTAAAAGTCTATTTAATAATAAAAAGAATATTTTTAAAATAAAATTTACTCAATATTGTTAAAATTTAAATTTTAAAAGAAATATAAGAGAAAAATTGAATAACTTTCTATTGAAGAAATAATTCATGTGTAATTATGTATGTTGATATACACTTATGTACAAATAGTAAACTTATAAATCTATAATGAAAAAAATATTTGTATAAAAAATATTTTAAATATTAATAATTTATATTCCCATCCCTACCAATCAGAATAGACCTAACCTATATATTCAAAGTTCAGCCCAACCTTGCCTATTCCCTAACATATTACCATTCCTACCAATCAGAACAGACCTAACTTGTATATTCAAAACTCAGCCAAACCTAGCCTATTCCCATCCCTACTGATCACCAGCCACTTGATCAAACCATCAGCTTTGATACCACATTTAGAAAGTTTTACACCAAAGAGCACTTCACATAATAGGTAATAGTAAGTCACATGAGTGAATTTGACACCACAACATAACTTAAAATCTTAAGACATTAGATATGAGGATCTTTCTCACTTATATACAATCTTAAGACATTAGATATGAGGATCTTTCTCACTTATATACTACTCAACATGTCCAACTCTATCGAATGTTAAACTTCACTTCACATTTGAATTCTAACATAGAGATATCTGTATGCACAAAATAACTACTTCCCGCAAACTTCTAGGAATTGTCAGCAATAGGTTCATTCGTAGTGCATTTCAATAGATAAAACAAAACATTGGTAGAACAAAAATGGTCAGAAGTGAAAACCACTTTGTTTTTTATCCACATATGAGAAAGTTTTAAAAAGGTATTATATTACTTCATAATCGTGATGGTCAGCATCTCACTGGCAAGCAATCTTAAAGAACCTGGATAGATGCATCTCTGTGATTTGCTTAATAAACTAACAATTTATCAAAAGCATATCAAGAATCTTGTTATGGTAAGTAAAAATCAAAACTTCTAAGATAGAATAACCATATTCCATGATGTTCTCTAAATATTCTAACAGTATCATGTTATGCTTCTAAGAGGCATGGGATTGTTGAATGAAGAAAAGGATTTGCTGGGTTTGCGATCTGATTAAATGTTTTCTATATCTTTTAGTGTATATAAAAAGAAGGTTGAGTTTTATATTTAAAAATCTACATACGACAGAAAACAAATACAACACCCACCATAAAACACTACAATGAGATAACTTTTTTTTTTCTTTCTAAATGAAAATTAAGGGAAAGAATGGAACAAGTGGAGCAAAAGCGCTGCTGACTATATTCTAACCTGTGCCAGCTAAAATTCAATCATAGGAGAATACTTGTTCAAAACTTAAAACATCACCTTCTCAAACGACAATGGGATTTTTCTTTTCTCCCTGAGATATGCAGTTTAAGAGAATCAATTGGCACAATTCTTAAAACAATCTCTCCTATCGCAATTCTCAACATCCCAAAAACATAATTATTAGCTCAGGATCTTTGAATCCAATAACCTGAAAATGTCTGCATCAACGGACTTTAGACTTCTTTGTCTGGCCTCCTAAAACCCGAAATGATGCACAGATCTTCCTCCAGCATCGGATGGAAATGATCGAGGGTATTACAATCCAAGAGGCATTTGCTCCAATATAGTAAGCATAGTAGTAAAATGTGTTTGTAGAAAAATTATCACCTTCTAAGATTGCTGTTATATAATAAACAGCCGTTCCATATAGCTGGCCCAAAGAAATGGCAAACTGAAGAATGTAGCTATATGACTTCCCACAAGCTATAAAATTTACTCAATATTGTTAAAATTTAAATTTTAAAAGAAATATAAGAGAAAAATTGAATAACTTTCTATTGAAGAAATAATTCATGTGTAATTATGTATGTTGATATACATTTAATTATATATTTTATAATTTTTTATTATATGAATCAATGACAATAAATTAAAAATATTTTAGTGTACATTTTGATTAAAAATATACTTTAATATCTTATAATAAATATTCTCTAGTGTTATTCAGATAAATATTTTAATTATATATTTTAACATAATAAAAAAGTGATAGTATACTACTATTATCTTTAAAAATGATAAGAGTATAATTCATTTTATAATTTAATATTTTAAAAAATAATATAATATTTATATTTTTTTAAAAGAGAAAAGTATAATATATATCAAAGATTTTAAATTAAATAGACTAAATTATATACTTTAATATTAAAAAGAGATAGTGTAATATTTTTCTTTGATAGGATTAGTAGCATAAAATACAATGATGAATTCATATTCTCTGTACTCAGCTTTTTCAAGTAATAATAGAATTTTATTGGATAAAATTTAGTTGACCCATATATTGTTCAGATGCTTTTAAATTTAAAATTCACATTTAAGATCTGAGTCATTTAATCTTCATTTGACCGTCATTGGATCATCACATAAATAAGTTAACTATCCTAAATCAAATTCCACATGATATAACCTCAATCCCATGTCACATGGAAGAAGGTATAATTATAGTTCATGCCTCTTCTTATACTTGAGTGTAAGGAACAAACTCCCACTTATTTTAAGTATAAACTAGTTTACGTCTGCTTAGAGCAAAGCAACAATATTCATTCAAGATTCCGTCCATCGCTCCCTTTAGATTTAGAATTTTCCATCGTATGAACCCCGCAATGAAAACGTTGTTTCTAATGCTAGATTCTTCGTGAAACATATGATTCATGTTTCGTTAGGTAAACGAGAAGCAAAACGAAACTTCAGGACCAACAAACACCACTTTACTTAAAAAAAAAAAAATAACAAGAAAAGAAAACTAACACCACTTCACTGAATGCGAATTTGACTCCATTTCTGTTTCAGATATGATTCCGTCCATTCCGTAGATATTTCTCTTTTTTCATATGAAAAACTGTTATTATTTTGCTTTTGTTGAATATTAATAGACAAATAAACCGATAATCTAGTAATCTAGTAACTTACAAAAAAACGAGGTTACGTATTAAAAGCGAGAGTCACGGAAACAAGATGCATGTTTGATTCTGATATAGTAACAATTTGTTTAGATAAATTTTTCTATAAATATTTATGAATAATAAATAAAGAAGAAAATTTTGGATAAAAACTTCTATAAATTAATTTATCCATCATTTAATGTTAGTTTTATAGAAAAATTTATTATTATTTTATTTTAATAGTGCTTATGAAAAAAACTATCTAGATGTCTAAATTTTTTCGTGAAACATGTTTTGCTCGTAATTTTAATAAGGTTAGCATTTGAAATGAATTCGTCAACGTACCAACTTCTTTAGATACCCATGTTTTTTGTTAATAATGAATACCAAACTTAGAGAAAGCATTTACCATTTTCAGTCAAATTGGAACGCTTGCAATTGCAGTGGCATAGGGTGCCTATTCTTTGAAGCAAGAGCCAAATGCACCATCCACGTGTAACTCATAAACAATTATCGTTTAACAATAACCGTCCATCACATAACTGATTAATGTCCATCAACGGTCCATATTTTGTTCCATAACAGAAGGCGTATATAGCAGCACCACATAAATCCTCGGGTCCCACATATTACGTGTAATCGTGATCCGGAGGAACACAAAACCATAGCCAAAAAGCGACACTAAGCATTTTCGTCAATTAAAATCGTCCACGTGTCCCCCCGACAGAAACCACCGACCTCGCAGGGCAAATGTTAATGTTTTGCTCCGTTATTTTAGAACCTTTCCTCAGATTACCGGTCAGTCACTGATTTCAAAGTTCCGTGACCACCCATTTCCAATATCTGCTTCCAATTTGATATTTTTCATTCTGATTCGATTCTGGGTATCGCCAAATTTCTCGATTTTCCGCATATTTTGGATTTGGAGAGGTTTGAAGAAATTACCGAACTTTGGAAGGAAAAACGCAATCCCATGATGCAACGATGCGTTGATCATGTTCTTGCTGTTACTAAAGAGTAAGGCTATTTGATTTATCTATGTGGGGATTTGAATGTTTTACCATGCTTGTTGGATATCCATGTCTTAAATGAGTTTAATTATATTATGATGTTTTTTGAGGAAATGATTCAATGATAAGGACGTGTTTGTTCTCCTTTTTGTGTTGGTGTAGTTTCTATTTGTCCTGGTTATTCTTTTTACCGGCTGCTATGGCTGTAATTCTGCTGATCCTGGACAAGTATTTTTGGTATTACTTTTACTGTTCAATGGGTATCATTTGTTTGTTGGATTATGTAATATAGCTATGTTTAAGCACTATTTTTTTTTGGGGGATGTTATTTTATTCTGAAAGATTTGGCGAAAATAATTCTGTTTGATTTGGTTACTTTTGTAAAGCCTTAAGGGGTTGATCCATGTAAAAAAAATTTAGTGGCAAAGAATTTTGCAATCCTCATACGTTTCAGTTTGTTGGAAGTTGGAACTGATACAATGCATTGATGTTTGAGAGTCATGTAGTGTCCTATTTCAATGTCTTAATAAATCAATGGCTCACTTGTCACAGGATGAGCATGTTTATCTGTTTGTTAGTGCAGGTCATTGAAGGCAATTACTTATGAGTCCTTAAACAATATTGTGAGGCTAATCAACGGAGTATCAGCCCTTTTGTTGGCATTACTACCTGGGAAAGCTAATATACTTGAAGGTATCCATGGTTGGGAACTCAGGCCAACTTTCCGTGGACCGCGATTTCCACGGTGGATGGAGAAGTAAGTTTTCATTATAACATTGGTAATTCCTGTGTGAAAATTTTCTTTATTTTCTTAGTGTTACTTATACTTGTATTTGTTGCTATGTTAGAACTCATACTATTGGAATTGAGTAATAGAATAACTATTTATCTGCCAAGAGTTATTAATTCAATTATTAGAATTTTGTTTTAGAGTTTGTTTGGATACAATCATAAAAGAACTTTTCAGAGTCTCTCTCCGGAAGTGGTTGCATGCTTTGATGTAATTTATTAAAGGTTCACCTGTGCAGGGACTTAGGTTTCACCCCTTTACCTCCCCATGATTCTGGTGTCATGCCTTCATAATTATATGCATATATCCTTCATCTACCGGTAGTGCAGGTTGCTGCCTACAGCACATGGCTACTAAAAGAATTATGAAAAAAAATGCAAGTTGCAGGGAAACTATATTGTTAAAAAATGAAAGAAATGACTTAAGCTTTGTATTTTCTGAATTAAGGATTCAAAGTTTTTAAAACTAAGACAATAATAAAGAAGGAAAAATTGAAAATTAGAGAAAGAATAAATTAGGACATAAAGTGGAGAGCCAGAGAATAGGCAGAGATGAAGTCAAGGTAAACTAGAAAATAATTTATGCCAAGGAATTAGTATACAAGGATAAAAGGTGTAATTCTTTTAGCTGTTTACTTAGTGAGATATTTGATTTTATCAGAGACTGTTATTCTTATTTTATTAAAAAATTGTAAGTATATTTGACTATGTATTTTGTTATTTCTTATACATGTTTATACTTTACAATTTTCTTTTTTCTTTTTAATGTTTTGTTTTCCTGACCCTTTGAGAATTTAAAGTTCATTTTGGGATGGTTACCTTTCTTTACAACTTAGTAATAGCATGGCTAATTTGTTTATGATATATTGTCCTTGCCTTGAATTTTGTTTTCTTTTTTCTAGTGGCGTATCGTCTTTCAACCAGTTTATCCATGAACTTTCTGTGGATTCTGATAATTCAAGCCCTGAATACTCATCCGGAGATGAAGATAGTGATAAATATAGTGATAGATACGATTACCCTCCATCTCCTGCATCTCAGAGTTCTAGAACCTCAGAAGCTGGTTTTACCAAATACAGTAGGCATCAGATGGATTGGATCCAGTATATCTTGCTTTTGATTTTGTTTCCTTTAAAATTATTGCTGTGGATTCCACTTCATCTTTTACAGTTAGTTTATTATGGGGTGTTAAAATCCTTGTCTATTTCTGGAAATAAGCGGCCTCCACATTTACATGCGCATAAGAGGGTGCTAAGCCTCAAAGAACATATTATCCACCGTACTACTGATAGGAGACGTGGAGTTGTAGAGGTTGTGCAACAATTCTTTATATTTTAATTTGTATTGTGTTTATTTATATTGTTTAGATAAATTTCATATGAACGTAAATTTTGTATTGCTAAGTAAGTTTATTTTGCCAATCAGGATCTTTATCAAGGCATAGAACTATCTATAGAAGCTGTCTTTGATGTTGTTCACAAGGCAGCACATCTTCTTCTCTCCCCTTCAGAAGCTTTTGGGAAATTATTCAGATTGTTTTCGTCTCATGAAGGCAGTAGCTCTAAAGAAGATCGTGATAGTGTTGAGGACACCTCCGTTTATACAGCTACACTAGGAGAGAATGACCTAAAACCTACAGAGAGGAATATCAAGTATCAGCCTCTTAATACAGATGCCAGGACATGTCAAGATGTCATAACGGACCTTGGGTAATGTCTTTATCATGTAGTTGCATTTTGTTCTTTTTTGCTTTTATATCTTGCTTGTCTGCTTCATGATTTCTCATTCTACCTATGGCAGTTATCCATATGAAGCCATTCGTGTGATCACTGCTGATGGATATATTCTTCATTTGGAAAGAATACCGAGGTAAGAATGTTCATTTTTGGGAGAAATTATATGGATCTTCATAAATTTAACTATATGGCCCCCTTTGAGTTTTGTACTTATGTTGATCTTCTGAGATAAAATTAGACGCATCAGAGATGGTTATTTATGATGAGTCATTTAAGAAGTCAGAAATGGATACACCCCATACATGATTCTAATTGGTATATTTTGATATCTCAACTAATTTGTCATCGTGTGAGGTGAATTACATCAGATATGGAATAATTTTATTATGGTCGGGAATTTGGGAATGTCTCTTTTTTCTGTTAATAATCTGTACTGTTGAAATATAGAAATTATGGGATGAGAGCTTGTAAATTTCATGTCTACAGCTGGTAGAAACCCATGAAATGTATCATAATGTTATCATTACGAATAAAGTTAATTTTTATAATTTGATAGCAATGTGGAAAATGGAGATGATTAGGGATGTCATTATAATTTCTAGAAAAGTTTGTAGTCTCTTTGCAATGTGTAGTGTATATTGTCTAATGCCTATTCTGACTTCCCAGGCGAGATTCAAGGAAAGCTGTTTTTCTTCAGCATGGTGTTTTTGATTCATCAATGGGGTAAGTCATTTATCTCTATATTTGCTTAGTTCTTACTTGAATCTGTTATTAGTTTGTTTATTAGTTAAAAGAGTTTTTGTGTTTGAAAAGCTAATGTTTTAAAGAACAAACGTTTATGCTCGAGTGTTGTTATGATGTCAGAATAAGCAAAATTTTTTGTAGTGGATTGAGCAAAGCTTTTGTTTCATTATGACTATGAGCTTTGTTTAAGTCATAATATACTTTTTTTTTTCTGGGTTTCAGTTGGGTATCTAATGGAGTTGTTGGCTCTCCAGCTTTTGCAGCATATGACCAAGGTTTGCTATATTTGTGAAGATAATCTCTGTGCTTGAGCAAACAATTCTTGCTTTGGAATTATTACATGTATAGTTTTATTCTATCTGCAGGGTATGATGTATTTTTGGGGAATTTTCGTGGTTTGGTTTCTCGGGAACATGTCAACAAGAACATATCATCACGTCAGTAAGTTCATAAAGCAAATCTCTTTGAATATTTTTGGATAATTTCTGAGATAATGGAATGGAAAGAATGAGGAAGGGAAAAAAACGAAAAGGGAATAGATGGAACGAAAAGAGTACCCCTCAACAGAACAATTTAAAGGGCAACAACACGAGTGTTAGTTTCCCCTTGATAATTTTTCTAATCTCAAACAAGGGGAATTATTCCCTCTTTCCATCCTTTCCCCTTCTATCTTCCTCATTGCATTTCATTGAACAGACTGTGATTTCGGTTTTGGTGTCTGATATAATCATGCTTCGTATCTTATGCTATTATATTCATGTAAGAAAGAAATTAATGTAATGTAGATACTGGCGGTATTCCATCAACGAGCATGGGACTGAGGATATCCCCGCTATGATAGATAAAATCCATCAAGTGAAAACTGCTGAATTGAGGCTTTCTAAACCTGATATTGAGGAGGAAACTGATACTGTTCAGCCTTACAAGCTTTGTGCAATTTCTCATAGTTTGGGAGGAGCTGCTATGATGATGTATGTTATCACGCAAAGGATACAAGGGAAACCCCATAGACTTTCAAGATTGATTTTATTGTCACCGGCCGGTTTTCATGACGATTCTAACATAGTTTTTTCTATGGCGGAGCTTCTATTAGTTTTAATGGCTCCTGTTTTGTCTCGTCTTGTGCCTGCCTTCTATATACCAACCAGATTTTTCCGAATGCTTGTCAACAAGTTAGCCCGGGATCTGCATAACTTACCTGCAGTTGGAGGACTGGTTCAAACTTTAATGAGTTATGTTGTTGGTGGAGACAGCTCAAACTGGGTTGGAGTTTTAGGATTGCCACATTATAACATGAATGACATGCCAGGTGTCTCTTTTCGCGTTGCTCTCCATCTTGCGCAGATGAAGCGTACCGGAAGGTTCAGAATGTTTGATTATGGGAGTGCATCTGCCAATACGGAAGTTTATGGCTCACCGGAGCCGTGGGACTTGGGTGAACACTATGGACTCATTGACATTCCTGTTGATCTTGTTGCTGGACAGAAGGACAAAGTGATAAGACCTTCAATGGTAAAGAGACACTATAAATTGATGAAGGGTGCTAAGGTAGATGTTTCATATAATGAGTTTGAATATGCACATTTGGACTTCACCTTCTCCCACCGTGAAGAACTCTTGTCATATGTTATGTCATGCTTGCTGCTTGTGGATCCTAATCCTAAACATCATGCGAATCAAAGGGTTCTAAGGTCAAGGAGGAAAGGACAGGTTGCAGCTAGCGGGTAGATTATGAAAAAATCACATACAGTTCATACTTACTGAAGTACTTCTGCCATTTCTTGCAAGAGTCTCTGTGCTACATGCATGTTTGAATATAGAGCTACTCTGTATACTAGGGTCATCTTTTCCTACAAATCTGTTTTCCGTTTGGAGGAAAAATAGACCTTGAAAATATGTTGGAAATGTACATTGTAAAATAGTGTTCTGATTATCAAAACAAACAAAGGCATTAGAGTCTAGATTAATGTTGTATTACTATCATGTGTGTTGGTAGTTCACTAGTGTTTTGTCTTTGACAATCTCAAGTTGTCATTAGATTTCCCCAGGCTCACTGATTGCAGTGATACTTCAAAAGATCTCTCTCTCGCTCTCTCTCTGTACCCTATGAAGAATATGAGATTATCTTCATGTGTTTCAGATATGGGGCGTGGCTGGTTTTTATTTTGAAAATCAATTTTCATATTTTAAAAATTAAAACTAATAAATACTTTTGGATAGATATTTTTTGGCTATAGTTTTAAGAAAAGTTTGAAAACCGTAGTAGAAACATTTTCAACTATCACTACATTTTTCTTTAGTGATATTTGCTTATTTATAAGTTAATAAATTATTTTATGATTTTTAAAAAAATATTATTAAAGATAAAGTGACATTTTTTAATATCTTAATATTGTTCTTCTTAATTATTTTCAAAGATAAAGCTTCATATTAAGTAAAAGAATGTCAATTAAAGGATATGCTTCTATAATCTCTAATTGTGTTTCCAAAATTAAATTATGTCAAGTAAATGAATGATATATAAATAATATATTTAATTATAGAATAATATTTGAGGTAAATGAGCTTTAAAGTTAAATATGTTTTTAGCATTTAAGAATTTATAGGTAGTTAGAAGTTATAAAATATTAACGATAATAACATTTATATTAAAATTAATTATTATTTTATAAAATTTATTAAAACTTAGTAATATTATTAAAATATTATAAAAATAACACTTTGATAACATTTAAAAAATGTTGTCTAATTATATAATATTATTAAAAAATCTTTAATAATATAAGTTATATACAATATTTAATAATATGTTGAAAAAGTAAATTAACATTAATATATATTAGTTAATATTTTTTAAATATTTATAAAAAAAAATTGTTGTTGTTGTTGTTGTAGTGCATGATTTCTACATTCAATTAAAAAAATTATCAATCATTAATTAACATCTTGCTAAACTTCTGAACTCGTCGTATATTTATGTGAAACTCTGGTTACCTTATAGGTTGATACCAGTGTTCTGAGAACCATCAAAAACTAAAATTGCCCTATATTGGTGGCGGACTCGTAATTACAACCTCACCCTATCATAACTAAAAAATAAAAAAGAAAATGAGAACCATGATCTAATGCTTAAGTTTTTTTTTATATATATAAAATAAAAAAAATATTATAAAAATAATTACAGTAAAAATTGAATATAAATTTCTATATTTCTAACCATTTGAATCCTTACTCTCCCAGCTACTAGGATAGGATAACTCTAGTAGTTTTTATAATGGTCAAGTTAATAGGCGATTCAACTAAGTAAGTAATGACAAGAAAAAAGAAAATGTAAATATACATATGACGTGAGGTGATATTTATAGATCTTATATTGAGGAATGTAAGAAAGATTGTTTTCCTATGTAGAAGGAACCGTTCTAACATGAACCACTTCAACTAATGCCTCATCCATGAGGCAGTAAAATGACCTGCAATAGCAGGTTTTTCAACTTGTTTAAAATTGTAAAATAGGTCTTATATTATATGCGGAGGCGTGGTGGCGGCGGAGGCGCAGTAGCGGCAGAGGCATGGTGACAACGGAGGTGTCGTCTCCTTCCACGGAGTTGGCAGCACGGTGGTGGCAACGAAGACGTGACTTCATTCGCGATGGCAGCGGAGGTGCGAGCTCCTTCGCGTGGTGGCAGCAGAAGGGCGTGACCTCCTTCGCGCAGAGGCGCGGGCTCCTTCGCGCGGTGGCAGCGGAAGCGCGACTTCATTTGAGCGCTGGCAGCAGAAGCACGACCTCCTTCTTCGCGCGATGGCAACAGAGGCGCATGCTCCTCCTCCTTGGCGCCACCGGCCTCCCCCTCCCTCTTCTGCCGCTACCTCCCCCTCCCCGTCTTCCATGGTGTTCAACTCTCCCATGGCCTCTCCTAAACCCTAAACCTCGCCACCTCCAAATTTGACCCTCCTCGCCCCTGGCTCGCCCTTGACGACCTCGCTGCCGTCGTCTTCCTCGTCCTAACCACCCGCCGACAGCTAAAATACAAAAATTTCCATAAACAAGTTACATGTAATAAATATGAACCATTGATTATTTTATTATTAAATCTAACAGTTAAAAATGGTGTTTTACTGATGTACCACTTTTCATACTGCTTCATGTTAGAATTTCTGATGTAGAAGGTATGTTACAAGACGTGCAAGTGCAGGCACATGTTATATATAGTGTGACAAGTCGGTTTGTGTGTGACCATGTCAGTTTATAGCTAGTGTAACCATGTCAGTTTACAAGATTCTTTTGCTTGAGATCACCTCATTATGGATAAACTGGATTCCATTGTGTATAGGCCAATTTGACATTGGGATAAGTGTGAAAAGGTCGATTTCGTGTGTTGAAAATATGTGTAAATCTTTTTAAGAAAATAAATTACTTTTAATAACAATCTTTTATTTATATTTTAAATATTTAAATTTAATTTGTTAATTATTTTATAATTTATTTTTAGAATAAGATAATATTAATTTTTGATTTTAAATCATAACTTTTTTATATAAATAAAACTAGATTATATACTCTCTGATGAAAAATATATTTTTACAAAATATAAATATAAAATAACTTATCAGAGACATAGGTTAGATTTGATGACAATTAATAAATTATAACTAAAAAAGTGATAAGTCATAAAAGAAAGGTATGCAAAAACAAATTCTATTGAGTGAGAGGTTAAGTCCCTTATTGGAATACAAATAAAGTCTCGCATCAGTAAAACAAGAAAAAAAATATTTTATAAAACATATTCATACTCTAATGATTGAGAGGTTTTTTGAGTGTTAACTAAAAGTAAAATCGTAAGAGTTTAGGTCAAAAGCAAACAATATTTCATCATTGTAGAGTTATGTGCAAAATAATCTTATAAAAAATAACAAAGTTATAACTCTCATCTTGATATAAATATATTCTCTCAAACAAGTCTCTCCTCTTAATATAAATATAATCTCTCAAACAAGTCGTAAAAAATAACTACATCAGTGGTATCATCTTTGGGAGGGATCATCACCAAAAGCAAATGATTCTAGAATTGTTGAAAAAATTATAGTAATTGTATCTGAAAGATATGAAGCTTCAATAACAATTTTGAGAACACAAAGGATCTAAGTAAGATTAGCAACCTAGAAAAATACAAAGGATCTAAGTAAGATCACTTTGGCAGAGGTATTACATGCATTGCAAACATTAAAACAAAGGAGACTTATGAAACAAGAAGGAATTGTGGAGAGTGTATATTTAGCCAAATGGAAGAACAACAATGGTGGCAAAGACAAGAAGAAGGAATTGTTAAAAAAAAAACAACTAAAATAATAACCCTCAAATTTTTCTACCATATATTTATTACAAAAAGACTAGTCGTTTACAATAGAGATGTTGGTGGAGACCTGACGCAAAATGTTACAAGTGCATGCAATTAGGACACTTAAAATATGTATGCAAATCTCATGAACAATAAAAAGTCAACATTGCTGGAAAATCAACAAGAAGAGGAAGAAAAATAATTACTCTCAATGTCATATTTTATTTTGGACAATTTTATTCCAAGTATAAATGATTAAGTTTTTACTTATATAGATGATCATATAAGTCAAAATTTTTACTTATATAGAAAATAGTTAAAAAAAATAAATAAATAATAAAATTGCAACATCCTTCTCAACTTGTATCCTATTGTTATGTTACCAAAAATCCATTAGATGAGATAAAATATAAAACAACAAAATTGCAAGCCATATTTTTCTTTTGTGAATTCATTTTGTCATTTCTTTTGAAAACTTTATTATAAAGTACTTAAGATAATAAATGAAGTGAAGGTTAAACTATAGAAGAGAAGATTATTTTCTATTTAAAAATTTGTTCTTTATAAAAATCTATTATTCAGTAGACAAGTCTTCTAAGTATTGGAACTTAAAGTTTTTATTTGATAATAGTTTTTGATTTTACTTATTTGTAAAATAGATCATGCAATAATGTAATGAGGGATGCAATAAGTTAAATGAACAAGTAAAAAGATAATGGAGAAATATAACACAAGATTTATATTGATTCACCTTAACTAGACTACTTCTAACCCCCACATAACCTTGTGAGATTTTTCACTAAATCACAATCAATTGTTGTTCAAACTCAACCACTTGCTAAACAAACCACTACTACACAATCACCTTGTGTTAGTAGCAAACACTTAACCACCTATTGATATTTCTTCATTTAACCACCTATTAAGAAAACAACCTCACAACCACCTACTTTGAGACTAGATAACACCTGTTGTGATTTCCTTCTACTTCTCTACACCATTGCACTCTCAGTTCTTAGTAGATGAAGTGTTTACAAGACTGGGTTTTTGTATTCTTGAAGATTGCAAAGACCACAAGCAACTCTTCTACAATGGAGCTTCCACTAAGGAAGGTTTTACACTTTTTTCTATTACAAAATAAATATACAAATATGAAGTGAAAGTCTTTGAAAAATTCAAAGGATGAAGCAAGGATTGTAACTTGTTAAGGTCAGATAATCTCTTATTTTCTTTATTCTTGCTTACTTCAAAAAAATGTCCATTGTCTTTCCTTTATAGGCACCTAATAATAGATTCATTATGGCTTGCTTATTTTTTAAGCTAGATGCTGACGTTACTGTATTTTACTTTTTTCTGGTCCTATCAACTTTTTATGGATGAGGTGCCTTCTAAATAAGTCTTCACTTCAGGCCTTCTGAACAGAGTCTTCAATAGAATTCTTCTAAGAAGATTAGTTTTAATTAAATACATCTAATAGACAACTTGAAAGGCTAGTCTTCTGAACTAGGTCTTCAAGACATTTCTTTTGAGAAGAAATGTTTAACTTGGAACTTTCCAAATAAAAAACTTAGAGTTGTCATAAGGATGTTTGAATTTCCTTTTAGGTTGTCATAAGAATGTGTTCATAAAAATTATAGATAAATCTTTACTTAATCATTAGGAATTGGTTTCATGTTATTTAGACCTTTGTAGCACAAGATATCCCAAAACATTGCAACAACATCATGTTATTTTGGACAGATCAATGTTTCTATATTGTAGACATAATTTGTCCATGATAAAGACCTTTTTAGT